CTGCGAAAAAAGAGAGAAGCGATCAGAGGGGAGGGAAGCAGCATCTGCCCCCAGATGACAACAGCAGTGGCTTGATAAAACACAGCACAGTAATAAAACAGAAGAGGCCAGCAACAGTTAAATTCATAGAATCATAGAACAGTTTGGGTTGGAAGGGACCTTTAAAGGTCATCTAGTCCAAATTGGATCATTACACTGTGTGGCAGCTAAATGTTCACTCCCAGGAGGAACAGAGATCTGCTGTATGGTTTATTCAGGCTCCTGTATGGTTTATTCAGGCTGTCACCTTCCTAGCATTTCTCTTGCAATTTCCTACTGCTACACCAGCATTGCAGAGGAAGCAGAAGCAAAGAATTAGCAAGACTGCAGGCAGTTTTGTCCCTCTGCTATATATTATGAAAGCAAAAAATATGTGCTATTGATGCAAGGCTGCAGGGTTGAAAACAAGGCTGAGTTCCCAAGGCTGGAAATACAGGGAATCCGAGCACCGCACCACCCAAACAACACCTGCTCTTTCCTCCAAAGCGGATGCATCGGGATGTTGAAGCTTTGAGAAAAGCAACCAAGACAGCGTGGGATAACTCCTGCCAGCCCTTCCTCCCAGCCCTGCCTGCGCGGAGGGAAGGATGTGGTGGAAATGCTTTCACTCCCTCGAGGCTGAGCTCCTCCAGCTGCTCCACGTGCTGCAGAGCGGAGGAGGAAAGGACAGCAGTGTGTGAAAGGCAGCCGTAGCATCTGAAACAGGCTAGAGCAAGGGGAAAACTAGGGTATGGAAGCCTATTCAATCAAACCTATGCTGTGGGGCAGCACATCCCACATTTGAGTGGTCCCACAGTGGCAGGAACCCAGCCCCGCTCCACAAAAACACAGGGGAAAGTAAATGCCACCTTGCGCTTCCTGAATCCCCAGAGAATCGGAGGAGGGAGCGGACAGACGCCAGCCTGAGCAGCCCTGGCTGTGATGTGGCTGCAGACAACAAACCTGCCAAGTCCCACCAGGACCTGCTGACGAGGCAGCAATAAGCCACGAACAAACTATGACGAAAATTGCATTTGCAGCGACTACATCCATCTCTGAAGTAGACTATGAGAGCTGGGCATCCTAATCTCAGCCCTAATTTACCCTGAGAGAGCGATATCACCACCCGCCTGCTTCTTCTCTGCCAAAGCGCAGGTGGGATCGTGCTCTTGGGGTCTGGGTCCTGTTAAAGCCCTTGTACTACAGGAGAGCATCAAGTAAAGAATTTACATTTTGGATCAAAAATAACCGGCTTCCAACCATGCACTTTGCAGAGAAGAAAAACAGAAGGACTGCAAGAGTTACAGTTGTTCACGGGCTTGTTATTTATCAGCTGGGAAAAAGCACAGGCCAAGAACCTTCTGCAAAAGCAGACAAATCCCTCCTTAGCAGCGCTCATACTACTTCACTACATCTCTTAGTTCCCCTAAAATTTAAGCAAAGCTGTAGAAGTAGCCAGAGAGGAAAGACACTGTTAAGCAGTATATGCACATGTTTCAGACGGGGCTGCAGCGAGATGCCACAGAAGCACCTGGAGCGGGAAGGTTTCTCCCGCAGGTCCCGCTCCTCCACGGAAACCTCTCTGCTTTCCTCCGAGCGCTGAGGCAGGCAGGAGAGCACAGGCTTTGCCTGAAGCTGCAAAGCTACTGCAGCACAAAAACTCTGGGACCAGCTGCCACTGAAGGGTGTAGGCATTAGAAACCAAAACCAGATGAAGCACTTGATGGATGAGATACCTACGCAGCGCAAGCCATAGCTCTGCTGTAACCCACCGAGCCTAATAAGGGATGAACTCTCCCTCAGCTTTTATCCTGACAGATATCTGATCTGATCTGATCTGACACGGTGAACTCGATGGGCAAGGGAGAGTCTTGCAATCACGGTTGCAAGACAGCAGGCGTGCAGGTTTTTCTTACGTTGCTAGTTTTATAGCAGGAGTGGCACAATAAAGGCGTATTTTATGCAAGTAAAAGGTTTCTTCCCACTGACTGCATGATTTTCTTGCCTTCAGTAGATGATGGGCATTGCCACTTAACGTGCACTTCTTGCACCTTCTCACTGACACCAAGAATTTAAAAATCACTCTTGTGGCTGTACAAGTCTACGTGAAAAGCTACAGAAACGCGAAGCTACTGCATTTTTCTGAGAAGTCCTTGAATAGAAGCTATCCATCCACAAAAAATGTAGCTTGTATTTACAATGGCTCTGTAATCTTTTTAAGAGATTAGCAAGTGTATTTATTTTGTTCCTACAGAAGGGTGGTGAGTGAGAGGAGAGCATTTTGTGTTTGTTCTGTACTGTTTGCCTCCAGGTCTGGTGAGTATTTGAAATATGCAAAGGGAAGAAGGCTCAGGAGGGCAGGTTCAGCCCTTCCTCATAGTCTTCCTCCCACTCACACCCACTTGCAACCACATAAACATCAAGGAAGCGGCATGAGAAAACTGGGCCACGTGTTAGCTCTCCGAAAATGCATCAGTCATGACCCAGCACCTGGTCCGGGTCCAAAAAACTGCACTGACCCTGCGCTGAGTTGGAAATGCCCTGCTGCAGCCTCTGCCGACGCAGGGGGACAGCACGGGGCAAAGAGGGGCTCTGACCAGGTGAGGTGACCCCAGCACCTCCGGAGTGACCTACAGCATCAACGTCTAACACACCAAGCAAAGCCTTGAGGAAAGAGGCTATTCCAGGGGAAAATAACTAGCAAAACAAGCTCCTGCTGTACTTTAACGAAAAGGTCTCCTTGCAATACTCTGCGTTTTAATTTCTGCAACAGTGGAAGGAACAGGCAAAAAGCGTAGCTCTTCTGCAGCTGAGCCCCTGTGAGTCTCAGGATCGGTCACACCTGATGCAGGTCACTGAAACCTGCTCCAAATCTGAGCGTATCCTATGTCCTACGTGCTGGCTATGTGGAAAGCAGTGGACAGTCCAGTTTCCACTGGACCTGCCTGGGAAGGGCCTCTCACGTCCTCCCCCAAGGCAGAGGACACGGACCCAGTGGCTCACCGTCATAGAGGACTCCGTGGACCGTCTGTCCAGTGACTTTGCCCGGCGGTGTGGGGACAGAGGAGATGCAGACACATCCAGGATGGAGCCCACAGCTGCACCTTCACAAGTGAAGTCCTGTGTAAACAGCGTTAACCCAGATCAGCGCAGGAACGAGGACAGCCAGTCCCACTCTCTTGGCTTACGGCATAAAAATCCGCATTTTTAAGAGGCATCTCAGGCTCAGAACAAGTGTCCTTTCATTGGCAATAGATTTTTTTTTTTGTCCTTTCAGGCATTAATTTGTTCCCAGTATATCTAAGCATATCTGGGACTTTCAAGACCGCCTGTTTCTTTTGTTACTTCACCCCATCCTGATGTGTCCTGCCATGCCAGATCTGAAGGTTCTTTCTCACTTGGAGGAAGGAGAAAAGACAACCTGATTTTCCACTCTGATTTGCAGCTGGGCCGAGGGAGCAGAGCAGCAAGCAGCAAACCTGCGCAGACTGAGCACATGCAGCGGTTTGGCTCCTACATGAACCTGCCTGCGACTTCAGATCCCCTGTTCTACCCAGGGACAAACCCTATAGCTAAATCCTCTATCCTGGGCTGCCAGATCCCAGGTGCCATCCTCCAAACCCCACCACGAGACCTTGGCTGAGCAGCTTACCCGTTTCCGTGGGAAAACCCTCTTCTCGCTCCTGCCCTGCCGCGTCTCACTGGAAAGGGCAGCGCCGGCCGACACATTCGTTTCCATGTGCTCCGCGTTCTCAATATCTAATGCCTCAAATTTTTCAATCACCTGGGATCGCCTGGAAAACAGAGAGAAAGGGAAAACCAGAGCCCGTTTAAACACAAGAACAGCAACTGCGCTGAGCTGTACAACCCCACAAATTTAAGGCTGCAGAATTACTCGACCCAGTGTTCGTGCACACCTGGCTTTTGGTCCCTGTTTCTCTGCAAGCTCTAGCGTGCACAAATCCAGGGTAAAATGCCCCGATCTGACATGCATCATTTTACCCGTGGCCAAAGTGGGGAAAAACCTCACGCTACTCAGCTCCACAAATAGCATCCTCTTAAATATCTAGAAAACACTTGCAAAACCAGCAATAACCTTTCACTTGTAAATTTTACAGCCCTTTGAGAAGCAGGGATTATTGAACAGCTTTGGCTTAAGCTTTGTCTTTACTCTCTAGCACTGCGGCTATCAATGGCCCCCAGGCCACAGAGCAGAGATGCATCAGACCAAAGTGGGGTGCAGAGGTAACGGGTACCTACGGGTCACCCTGTGTGTACACTGCTATAGATACCCTGTAAAAACTCAACCCCACGTGGGTAACGTCCAGGGGATTGCCCTGAGTGAGGAGTGTCCAAGGATGCCTCCACACAAGGGGTCTGGCTTGCAGGATGTGCCAGCTGAAGAGGCATGGGGAGATGCAGGGCACCCTGTGCAGGCACAGCAGGGCATCCCCTGCAAAACCCCGGGGCTCTACCTTCCCCTTAAACTGGTCTGCAAATCCAGTATGGACAGCAGGGAACACAACCTGGACTCCCTGACACCGCCTCGGTGGCCCATCACACTGTGGCACATACATCTCGGAGGATGGAGGAGAACTATAAAGAAATGGGGATGGAGCAGGAGCCAACCCAGGACCAAACCCAAAGGGGATGCTCCTAAGAATGAGCAAACAACAGGCCTTTGCAGGTGGAATTAAAATCGCTGTTTCAGCATGAAAAAGCTGCTTGCTGACCCACAGGAGAGGAAATACTGGAATTTTCAAAGGGCCTGCTAGTGCCTAAGTTTGCATGCCCAGGGGTTCAGGCAAGTATCAGCCTCAGGTCTTTAACCATAACCTGGGAACATGAAGCAATAACCCACCAGCAACACACACGCCAGCTGAGCTCCAAGCTCTGAGGTTTAAAGCTCCATTTCAAACCTCCCCAAAAAGCTCAATGCGGGTGGGTTCTTGACACAAAATTTGGACCCACACGTGCCGCACCTAAACTCGGGGCTGCTTGCTCTGTATGAACCTCTAATGTGCACGAAAATCACAATGGTAACTACATGAGGGGAAAGAGGTTATCCAAAAAAAACATTTTTAACACTTCTCACAAAAAGGAACAGCAGGTTAAGGGCTCAAAAAACATGAGATGTTCAGTTTGCAACCAACATTTGCACCAAATTCCATAAATGAGACAAACAGTCTGAACACATCACACCCCTCGCCGGGCTGGGGGCCCCTCACTGCTGCTCAGAGCCAGGCTGCCAGGACCGGGTGCTGAAGCCCGCACCCAAAGAGGAAGGGACAAAATCCATGGAAAAAAGTTTGCTTTGTAAATTTAAACGTCTCTGACGTTTTTACGGGACATCTGTTCAGCCCCTGCTGCCTCCCAGTTTGCAGACTGGGAGCAGGCAGATCCCGGGCTCGCGCAGAGCTCCCAGTCCCTGTGGGATGTTCTGCTCACGAGATGTCTGTTCACATAAACCAGCCCGCGGAGCATAAATCCACATCCTCCGTTTACCGACAGACGAGGAACTGTTTTGGAGTCACAATTTTTTAACTCTTTTACACTGGCCCAGCCTTCTCTGAGTCTCAGTTTAGGAGGGAATAAGAGGTCCACGAATTAACATTGTCTGTGCCCTATTAGGTGAAGGCCTGAAGAAAAACAAATCAGGAGAAAAAAAACCAAAAAACCAACCCAACCGAAAAACATAAAACAAAATCAAAAGCAGGTTGATTTCTCATGAAAGGGGCTGCACCACCAGGTTGTTCTACGGCTCGAGATTGAGATGAGATGGTAGCGAAGCAGGCGAAGTAAAGGCGGACACGTCACACAGCAACACAGCAGGAGAAGGTGGAGAGCAACAAGACCTGGAAGAAAACAAGGCTGGAAAATGAATGAACAGAAGAGGAAATTATATATCTGCATCTACATACAAAACAAAATCAAAATCATTCCAGTAATTCGTCATTGAAAAAGGGAGGAGAAAAAATAAATCACTGCAACCAAATCACAGCCCCAAGGGTTAATATCATCCGGATTACGGGAAAAGAATCGTCTTTTTCCCATTAGCTCAACATTTCAGAGAGGTTACTGGTAGAGATCCTGGGGGGACAGGGAGGGGAAGGGCTCTCCTCTCCTCCCCACCGCGCCGAGGAGAGAGCTGCTCCCTCGGAACAGCAGCTCTGTGTTGACAAAACAAGGCTGCGGACAGGTAGGAAGAAGCGTTTTGAAAGCTGCAGTGCCATTTAGTGCTTTCTCAACTACAAAGCTCGTCCCAAGGAGTTCCTCGGCCATGCAGGCTGTTAAATTTTTTTCCAGGCCACTAAACCCGAGCCGCAGATCTCGGCTGTTAGGTGCAGAGGTGTGTGCGGTGCGAAGGAAAGCTATAAAGACCAGCACGAGTTATTGTTAAAGTGATTTTCTTTGACTGGAAGAAAGGGCTTGTTTTTATTGGATTCATTCATTATTTAGCAGCAAGAAAGACAGCGAGTGTCAGGAAAAGGAAGAGGAATTCCCCCAAAAGGTCCACAACAATGAAGAGGATAGTTATACAAGAAAAAACCAAACCTATACTTGGGAGAGCAGGTGCTCCTCTCTACGGAGAGAAACAGCATTCAGAGCAGAGCCTTACATCTCAAGAAGCTCCAGAGAAGGAATTTGAGAAAGAAAAGTTTTTTAAGCGATTTCAGGCAGCTCTGCTATTTATCACGGCTAGAAATACTCCTCAGCCCCCTGACCGCGCTCCTAAAGCAAATCCGGCAGACGCCACAGCCGACTCTTGCCAGTGTGAGCAGAACATGGGGTCAACCAGGAAAGCTGCAGTTTTAGAGGCTGCATCCCTGGAAGCATGCAAGAAAAGCCAAATTCCCCAACCAGAAACCCCGATGCTCCCCGGGGAGCTGCAGGAGGCAGGTGAGCCCGCAGCTGCACACCCGGAGGAAGGGGCTCCGGGTCTCTGTGCCCCAAGGACTCCCCACCCGATGGTGGTCTCCTTCCCAAAGCCGCTGGCACCCTCCTGAGATATGCCAGGATTTATCCCTGCAGCTGCAGAGCCCTGCTGGGATACAGGGACCGATGTCCAAGGATGCCCCTGCAGCCCTCTTCAGCTGTGATTTTGTGTGCAAAACAGGCTTCAAGAGTCACCCATGGGGTTTCTGAAGAGCTCTTGTGCCCTAGGGGTGGGTCTAGGATGGGAGAGCGGAGGCACGGCTTGACCTCTCTGGACATCAACTCTCTCCCCGGTGTGGTCGCGCATCCCTGCATGGTGTGGGCAACGCGGTGCCGGCAACCCCGTCCTGCCGTGTGCCAGCAGAGGGAACTCGCACTCTGTCGCTCCGCCAAAATCATGGAGCTTATCTCCTCTTTTCTGATTCATGTTTCTGAGTGGCTGCGAGCTCAGACATCTGCACGGGGTGTGGAGTCAGCGTCAGGTATAAGTGGTCAACATGGAAAATTTCCAGTACAGTCCTGGACTTAAGTCATGGAATATCTCTTACTATAAGGAAACAGGACAAGAAGCCTGGAAAAACGGCTTTATCTGGAGCTAAGCCTACAGGTGTGTCACTCAGGATGCAGCACTGGGTAGCTAAAATAATTCTTTTCCATCCATAGCTCTGACACTCGCACTGATTTATGATGGGTAAACAAAAAAACACACCAGGAGGAAGAGCCGAAAAATACCAACAGAATCAGAGCAAGTTCATTTGGCTGCACGGAGGGATGAAAGGCAGATCTGAACGATGCCTGGCTGGTGTCTATGGGGTTGGCATGTGGGCCAGCGATTTCAGGTGTTCCCAGACGTGTTAGTGTGTTATTGAGAAGGATTATTAGAAACAGTGTTAAACCCGGGGGAAAAAGCTGACCCCACAGCATGGAAATGAGTTTTTGTATTTGCTCAACCTCAAACAGCACAGCCTGAGCTCAGAGGAGAGAAATGAGAGGGATATGTGGACTCTGTAAACTCAAATTTAAAAAGCAGCCAAGCCAAGCTGAGCAGGGTGTTGGTGAATGTTAATTCCCTGGTGTGACACCGGACTGCCTCTCTGCCCTGCCGAGTCCACCCAAGCTCCGGGACACATGGCCTCACCACCCACACGGGCCAATTCCCAGGTTATCGGAGGAGAAAACAAACGTGCCCATCCCTAAACGCTGCCCGCTGAGCCATCCCTGCTGATGGCACGCTCCTCCGGCACCACAGGCTGCGATCCCCAGCC